ACATAATTTTTCCTGTAGCAAATCTGACAATTCTTTGTTCATTTACCGCCAGAATAATACTATTATTTATTTATTACTATATGTGGATGATATTATTATTACTGGCAATTCTGAGTCATCTGTTACCCAATTTATCTCAATTATCTCTAAACATTTTGCTATGAAAGACTTGAGTAATCTCCATTATTTTCTGGGTGTCGAGGCTATTCGTTCAGCTAAAGGTATGTTTCTCTCTCAACATAAATATGTTACTGATCTTCTAGCTCGTTTTCATCTTCATACTGTAAAGCCTGTTCGCACCCCGTTAGCTTCCCGTACCACTCTGTCTCTTTCTGATGGTGAGTTATTGTCTGATTCTACTAAGTATCGCAGCATGGTTGGTGCATTACAATATTTAACTTTGACACGGCCAGATATTACTTATGCAGTACACTTAGTGTCTCAGTTCATGCATGCTCCTCGTACCACTCATCTTTTTGCATTCAAGAGAATTTTCAGGTACTTGCAGGGAACACGAGATCATGGTCTCTGGCTTCAGCAGTCTAATCGACCAACCTGTGTAGTTGCTTACTCCGATGCTGATTGGGCAGGTTGTCCTGATAGTTCTCGGTCCACCACAGGTTTTGCTGTATTTTTTGGTCCCAATTTGGTTTTCTGGAAGACTAAGAAGCAGCCTACTGTGTCCAAGTCCTCCACACAAGCGGAATATCGTGCTACTGCTTACACAGTACAAGACACACTACATGTCTGATCGGTACTGTTCGAACTTGGATGGCCTATCTCAGAGCCGGTACATTTATTATGTGATAATATCTCTGCTTCTTACTTGACTGCGAATGCGGTTCAGCATGCTCGCAGTAAACATATTCAGATTGATTATCATTTTGTTCGCGAACGGGTTGCTCATGAAGATCTGATTGTTAAACATGTTCCTACTCATCTACAGTTGGCAGATATTTTTACTAAAAGTCTCTCTAGTCAACGTTTTCATTTTTTGAAAGACAACCTGCGCATTGTATCTCCCGCACAGTTTGAGGGGGTGTAATAGAATTATTAGAGGCTTAGTATTGTACTTTACATTAAACTCTCTTTAATATAAATATATCTGTCAGAGCTCCTTAGGAAGTAACCTTCCCATTATTCTAACACCTGAATGGTGAAGTGTGTTGATATAGGTCTCGAATGATCGAAAACTATTAATTTAAGACATAAAACTCCAAGAATTTTAATAGTTGTGTATTCCTAAAATTTAAATATTATTTTATCTTGTGAAACTAATAAACGTTCGTGAAGAAAAAGTCATCAAAAATTAATAATGGAATTAATAAAAAAATAAATTGAATAAAATCTATGATATTTTAGGTCTTAGATTGACAATTTTCAATTAATCAGGTCTTATAGCAATACAATTTATCTTTCAAGTCTCGTAGTCAAAGTGAATATATCTTTCACATGCTGAATTGATAAACTTTCTAACATTAATCATAGGAAAAGTTCTTGAAGTAGGAGTAAACAAGTTTTGGAAGTTTAAAATATGACTGTTATGTTTTTCTTTCCGAAATAAAAGTAATATAACTGTATTTACTGTCATCTTGTAGTCATTATTGCCAAATAGATGTAATACTATGTATTAAACATCACGGTATTTACTAATCATTAATAGCAGTATTTTTCAATTCATGGTAGTATTTTTTAATCATGACAGTTAAGAATCTTATTTTGAAAAGAAAAATATAGTGTGATATACCGTGAACTATGTTTTTCTTTATGAAATAAGATTCTTTACTGTCGTAATTGAAAAATACTACCGTGAATTGAAAAATATTTCTATTAATGAAAACAATGAAAAAATGAGTCTAATTGCATAATTATTTTACATAAATAGTGAATGTGTTTTGTTTTTAATATTACAGCTACAAAAATGATATTTTTAAATCATACTTTTGCATCTAAAACACGTGTGAACAATGATTTTTTGTTTGAATTATGCAGGAAGAAATTTATTTTGTGATGTAACTCGCATTATCGCAAATGTAACTCGCATTGATGGAAAATGTAACTGAGTGTATGCAAAATGTAACTTGTAGAGACAAGTCCTAATAATGTAATTCACACATATAAAAATGTAACTCGCGCACATTAAGATGTAGATCATGCTCAAGATCGAAGATGTAACTCATTCACATGAAATCTGTAAATCAGGAATAACAAGATGTAATTTCATCTATTGTCAAATGTAACTCCTGGAATTGTGCATAAATGTAACTCACACATTTGAAATGTAAACTACACATATGAAAATGTAATCTCATATTTTACCAAAAGCAAATCCAAATAAACATACTCAATGTCTTAAAAACCACTAAAACATACGGAGTATAAAAGAGATAAAAATGTACGGAGTACTATATAAAAAATGTATGAATATGAAAAAATAAATTACAAAAAAAATGTATGAGTATAAAAATATGGAGTATTACATTAGAATATTGTGTATGAATTGATACTTATTTTATTTAGGTTAACAATTTTTTTGTTATGATTTTTTTTTGTAATACTAATAATGATTAGATTGAATTGTAATTTAAGTTGGAGATAAAGAAAGTGAAATTGCAAAAAGAAGAAGAAACTAAGGAAAAAATAAAAATGAGACTCCGAAAAGAAAAAAATAGATACAAGTAGTTAAAATGGATACACCGTGCACACAGAATACTGAATTCTCATTATAATTTGGCAACCAAAGTCATAATCGGCAAAACATGATGTCTCAATGCTTGACCTTACCATTTTTTAAAGATTTACCAACAGCAGATGTCAATCATTAGAATCACATCAAATTTGTCTTAAATCACTCCCGTATTTAGAGGATTGCTAAACACAATCAATAATTTATGCATTCCGCTGCCCAATAAAAAATGTTAAAATAATTCCCAATTTAAGAGTTGTATAATATTATTGAGAAAATACTATATTTTAAAGCCGTACATGCAAAATACAATTTCTTATAAAACTAAATAAAAAGTAAAAGAAGTTGCGTAGTATAACAACAATAATAATAGTGACGTGTTTGGTAACGCTACCTTTTTCATATTATCAGTTTTGCTAACCAATTTCTATCAAACATGTAGCTTGTGATTTTGTGATGCTGAATTGTGTAACAATTCAAATAAATAAGTTTGAAGTTACATTTATGTCTAAATTGACTGAAGTAAATATATTTTTATATAATTTTTTCTTGATTCTATGAATATATTTTTTCCAGATTCAACCATTTCAGCCTTTTGAATCAAAATTTTATTAATTTAATTGTAGTCAACTTGAATGTGCATGAACTAATCTAATTTGATAAGAGCAATGTTGGTTCATTTTCAAAACAACACCAAATACTGAGCACCCATAATAATCATTGTATTTGAAGGCAGGTTTGGACAAATCAACCACCGCAATGCTTTGTTTTGATGGAGACATCCCAATGATCCATATTCATTGCTGTCTTACCCAACAATAATGTCTACAATTGGATGCCCGTATTTCCGCCACTGCGTCCCAATATAAAATTTTTATATTCATTTGTGAAGTGTAGGTAAATAAAGACATCTTTCTTTGATCCAAAAAAGGTGTAATCTCTCACCTCAGGAGTCCCCACCCGACCTGACAGGATGATGAGGAGGTTGGTCACGGTGATTCAGTCAGCAGAATGACAGTAGGCACATACATCCGTACGCATCAGAGATCCAACCTTATTTCAGGTTCTGTAACATCCATCCGGTCACTGCGGGGATTCGAACCTTGATTCATTGATCCAAATCTCTCACCACTCGACCAACTGAGCTGTCCGTGCGGGTAATAAAGTCATCTTTCTTTATTTGATAAAAGAAATTATTCTTCTACCATGGATAAATTTATGTAATTCTAAAAGTTAGAAAAAAATACTCCGCCCCCTAAAGAAGTTCCCGTTCGATTTACGATGCTTGACTGACGATAAAGCAACTCGATCCTTGTTCACACTCGGATTAATTTTAGTAAATAAAATTTACATATTCAAAAATTACATTAAATCCGCTACAAAGCCTGATCAAGAAAATTTAAACTTGATAAAAATTTGATATATAAAGTAAAAGATTATGAGCGATTTAAGTTGACCAATGAATAGTGAATATGAGCTTCATTTCGGTACGGAGGTAGTATATTTCTTACATCGTATGAAGGTCTAATTAGAAACTTTGGGACTTGGCCCAATTTCACCATGTTTTATAAAAATCACAATCAACCTGTGTCAATTCGATGGAATCTGACTGATTTCAAACAATTATTAATAAAGTGATTGAAAAGGTAAGAAATATGATTGAAATATTTGTATAATAAAGTAAAATACTATAAACCACATATTTCTTTAAAAACTTTGGAACAATTCAAAAAGAAAGATAGAACAGGGACGAAAGGATTAACATCTAAAAATGGAAATAGAATGTTCTTTGTACTTCCTTTCTTAAAATCAAATAGCAAAAAAGCCACAAACTTTCATTATTTTTTCTTCTTTTAATTTTAATACTTTGTAACCCTCCAATGGTCCTCCATGGCTCCATGGCTCGAGAGAATCAAGCTATTGATCTCGGAAACATTTTTTCTTGTATTCAAATCAGTTGAAAACAACTCCATAAGTTTTAATAAGTTATTCTTTATCAACCTCTGATCAGTTGAAAACAACTCCATAAGTTTTAATAAGTTTTTCTTTATCAACCTCTGCATCAGATAAAAAAATGGAATAAGTTGACTTATCACTAAATGCAAGTCATTTCCCTAGACCATAAACAGTATTTAATGTAATGTTTTACGTTTAACATAGCAGCTGTTATGCTAAATAAATCTGCTTTCATAAGTATTAGTGTGTTTTAGTGATATTCAGGGGAAACCCCATATTTTAGAGGGTGTTTGGTGAAAAATCTGATCAGATAAGATTGATAAGGATAAAAACACTTCCTGAACAGGAAGTCAAGACCTTATACTTTAAGGCTGTTTTTATAGCCAAAATGAAACTAGATTTCAGTTGAGCACACTCCACCTGTGAAAAAAGAATGAACAATTCCAACAGCGAATGAACCAATCACGCGGGTTAACGAATAGAAAGAATCCAAAAAGAACTATACTAACAGCCATTAATATTATAAGTGTACATCTAAAGTATTTGCTAGACTAACTCATTCCCCCCTATCCCAGGGAACATGCCTGAGTGCTATCATAAGGCGACAATTTAATGAATGGCTCGTTCCGGATAGCGTGGAGATTGAAGAAAAATTGACTGGAGAAACAATGGTTGCTATTTCACACTTCACTAGCATCATCTTCTCTACATACACCGACCTCCACAGCCATGCTCTTTTTACTGGAATGTAACACTTTGCAGCAGTTCCTCCTCGGAGACTGTTTAAGAACGCAATTTAAAAGATGAAATATTAGATAAAGACTATAAGAGATGAAGAATGCCACATTCATGGCTGGTGGTGTAGCCACACCAAAAACAAATCAAAACAAAAAAACGAGCGAGTTTTTCAGTTAACCATGCCAACATTTTGAAATTGTTGTTTTGGTTAATGGACGGGAAAGAAATCGGGTATCAGTAATCAGTATTCAGTATGGTACTATGGTAATGGTTTAGCATCGATGAGGATTCAGGATTATGGTTAACTGAGAAATTGTACCAGATGGCATTTTAATAAAGAGAGCTTCCCTATAATATTACTAGCATTAAAATAGAACTTATGGGAAACATATGACTACAGGGTCATTATAGGCCTTATGGTCATTGCCAGTGCAATCTTGAACATCACAGAAATCATTATAGGCTTTATAGCCCTTCCGCATCAAGTCATACTTTTGTCCCTTGTTTTAAATTTAGTCATATACTTATCATTTTGTCTTTAAATTGGTCGTTTTTACTTATTTTGTATATCTGGTATTATATGCTAATGAAGATCAGTAAGCCGGAATCCTGGTTAACTAACCTGCCCACACCTCATTGACTAGAAAAAGAAAGATAATACTATGTATAAAACAAGGCTTACCCGATCCCATAAATGTGGGTCTGGTTTTTTATAAACCTCAATTCTCTCAACATCACCCGGTTCAGCCATCTTCCATTTGCACCCAGGATGCGGGACCCGATGACGAGTATACTCGCTAATGGTCTGCTTACCTGACGGATCCATTTTTGCACTTCCCAAATAAAACACAAAAGGCTTTTGACAAGGGTTCCTCATCACAGGCCTTGTGTTAAAGGCATATGCTGTGTAATCTGCCCTTCGGTACCAATTTAAGAACGTTCTAGAAGGCATTTCTATGTCCCGTGGGGATAACACGCCACGGAAAATTTGTACAGCATAGCCCCACGAAACAGAGATCGTCCAACTCTTCTTTTTGTCATAGCATATCGATTGTTGCATGAGACTAGCCGAGTCAAGCTTTGTTGGGATTAAGAGGCGCTGTAGGGCCTGGGCTCGAGAGACGTTTGGAAAGATGGGCTCCACCACATCGAGATGGTGCAAAGAGACCAACGGTGTCACGGGGTGTGCTGCTAGTAGTCCAAATAAATTCCCGTACACATCATACTGAATGAGCAAAACAAACAAGAATCAGAACCTAGTTACTCGTTTAGGAAACCATTAGGCTAACGAAATTCACAGGCCTATGCCAAATCCAATTGATAAATTAGCAAAACAGGACATATTACTGAAAAATGTACTTGTTGCAACACACTCACATATAGACAAAGCAAACGAAAAAATAACCCCTCTGCTGAAAAAAGTTTTAAACACAACTTTGTCCCAAAAATAGGCATCTTTCAATAAGTAGAAGCGGGATGAAAAAAATGTCAGAGTTCTTTTCCATGTGAAAATGCAACAAAAATATTAATGTCTTTCTAAAAGTTACATATATATATATATATATATATATATAGGGAAGAGATCAAATAAAGAGAGGTTCTCCCGTGCAAAGTGCGAACAGTTGCACTTTTCATCACCGCGTTGCACTTTTGCGTATTTTTGTTGCACTTTTTCGCGGTGGCAAAAAATTTCGTTTTAATTACGAAATTGCCACCGCGTTTTTGATAAAATTTAGTTCACTTTTGGCTCATTTTGAGCCATTAGATCTGGAAATGAATGCACGAGATTAATTCTCACTTTGCATGGGAAGACTTCTTTGTATTTGAACCCTCCCCTATATATATATATATATGGAGTATATACTTTAATTTTAGACGATAGAAATAGTTAAGGAAAATGATTAGTTAAATCATTAAAAACAGATTTATCATGTTTGAGAGCCTCTTTTGTTCTTCCCAACTTTTCTTTCCTTCAATTATTTCTCTTTATATATTTCCCAATTATTTTCTCCAAGAATACATGTTGCCAATGGATTGATGGCTTACAAAAAGGTATACCTTAATGCAAGAGGATTATATTTTAGGAAAGGAAGTAATACATAACAGGCAATGTGCACAGATAGTGACAACCTCTAGCTATCAATGACCCTAACAGAACTCCATGATATATAGAATCTGCAACAATACTACTAGACAGATGTATTCCAGCCTTCCAGGTTAGAAGATCTTTGAACAGAAGGAAAGTCTATCAAACACAGTGAATGTTAACAAACTTATCTGGAGACAAGTAGGCAAAAGAATCCAAATAAAATAGGCCAGTAGACACCAGTCCACCACCAAACAATAGCCTTTCTTGAATTAATTAGAGCTTTACTCAAATAAGCAACAAAGCTTGCGACTTTGTGGTACCAACCCTATGTACCATATAACCAACTCCATATCTAAAAAATGCTACAGAATTAAATTAAAACCCACAGTCCACAGAGCTTATTGTCTCAATCACAATTAGAGCTAAAGATCCAAAATTGTGTAAAGCAGTCATAGCCATCCATAAAAACTAATACAAAGCAAATCTGGAAATAACAGTTAGATAAGAATTCCAAAATGGGGAACAAATGATTAAAGCAAGCAAAAACACACCTGGTGAAAGCCAAGTTCTTTGGTGAGAGGGACACCCAACTCAGCCATACAAGCTTGCATTCGGTCGTCCGATCCGTATAGCCCCGGGTATCTCTGGATACACCCATCTTGGATTTTGTCAAGGGCTTTAGCCAATGGGTAACTAATGGCGAAACCACCCCCACCATAAGCCATATTATAAGAAAAATAAATGTTTTGCAGATGGCTCTCGCTGGAACTCCCAATATAGTAAAACTGATTGTGGTCGTACTTGTTGAGAACTCTCACCAAATTCTCTGTGATGAAAACGGTGTCGTCATCCCCCATTACAAACCACCGCACGTCCTCCATCCCCAATCTGAGAGTCTCGGATACGATTCTAGAAATCCGGATGGCTGACCGGTGACCCTGCTTATTCTTGTAGGTGAAACGGGAAGTGTCGCCGGAGATTCTCAATTCCGGGAGGGATGAAGCTTCTTCTTTAGCCGTCTTCACCGCCTTGTCCAGCCACACTATGCCTCTCATCTTCTCCTCCGGCCTCCACCATAGCTTGGTGTAATTCTTCCTCCTATCCCACAGCTTTGCCGAGGCAGCAATGCCAAAAACTACGTGTTCCAGCCCGGTTTTCTTGATTTCTCGGCGACCCGTTTCTGCAACCGCGGCGGAGGAGTTGATTTCTTGGCGGACGGGCAAGGCGGTGGTATGTCGGTGGTTGAAAACTTCGTCGTTGCAAGCTCTGGAGCTGGAAACGAGTTTCAGAGTGTAGACAGCGTAGGTGAGGGATACAAAGACGATGAGGTAGACGATTAATCTGGGCAAGGCTCGGTTTTGCGGGCCGGAAACCGAGCGAGGCGTGCCGGAAGGGCTCTTCATCTGATCCCAGATTATTCTTTCCGAATCTTTATCCCTTTGGAACACTTTCATCGTCATTGTAATTTGTAACAACTTCTACCGACGAAACCAATGCCTCGCCGTCCGGTAAAAACGGCCACCGACAAGGATTCTCTTTATTTCAACTTTTTTCGATTTTTCTTTTATTTTAGAGAAAATGCGGCAGATCTAAGGCATTCTCTAGGATTGCGGTAATCTTGAAGAGAACAAAAAAGAATTACTGGGTTTCTCGGTTTAAGATAAGAGGAAAGTGAGAGAGGACCCAGTATGAAGAGCATGCATTAACTTCGGTTTACCGCCGGGGGGAAGAAGCAAGATGCCACCATAAATGAACTGATGAAACCTTTTTAAGATGAGAGAGAGGCAGCGGCGTATCGGCTCACAATTTCATCAGTAATAGAAGAGTTAATTACTACGGTATCTAACATACGACTTTCTTGACTAATAATCTTAATAATTAATAATAATGCTCCGTAATTATATACGAGTTCATTATTGTGTGTCTCAATATTACCTTATATAGGTAGAATATCTCTATAACCTGTCCACTCTGAATTAGTTTTTCAAAATCACTGTAATTCTTTCTTAAAGGATGTTTTTGTGAAATAATGGGAAAGAGGTACATCAATAGGAGTCCTCACATGTTTTTGTGAATAAGAATTGCTAAAATACACAAGGATTTTTATATTAGATCAACTATTACATCCCTTCAAGCTGTGTCGGAGATGCAACGCGCATGTTATCCTTTAAAAAATTAAATTGCTGCCTAGATAAACTTTTAGTAAAAATATTTGAGTAGGAACATGTTTAACAACTAGATCTCCATGTGCAACTCGTTCCCGAACAAAATGATAGTCAATCTGAATATGCTTGCTCCGAGCAGGCTAGATAGGATTAGCGGTCAGATAGGTGGCTGATATATTATCACAAAAAAGTTGTACCAGAACCTGCAATGGAAATCCGCTGATAAGCAATATCTGAGGGGTAGCATATCCGCTTATTGTATAAGCAATAACATGATATTCCGCTGATGGATAGTGTACCCGGGGGTAGCTTATCCGATGGGTTATTTCGGGGAATAACTAGAGAGAAGTCAGAGCAAATAAGTAAGAGAGAGAATGTATCCGAATATGTGAACTTGTTGTTCTTTAACATCTTGATATTAACTATAGTAGGATTCATCTTCTTTAATATTCTTCCTTGAGTATTAATTAATTCATATTCATATTTCATATTAATATTTTGAACATTACTTAAAGGATCAACTAGTTTTGTTTCATATATTAATTATTACTAGAATCAATCGATTAATACGCTTGTTATTAATTCGGTTCATTCACGGTAGTAAACTTGGGTTATTAATGCATGCGTCTCATGGTTGATAATCTAAGGGGAATTAATTATGTTGATTAAACCAATAAACCGCTTGTGTTGAGGTTATTAATCTCAATTGTTTTCATCTTGGTTTTATTGCTACTGTCGAGTTGATATACGGCGCGTAATCTATATTAACTCGGTAGTAAGTTTTATTAATGAACGCGTCTCGTTATTAATAACTACCCTCGATGAACTGGAGATACTCCTCGATTGAGTATTCGAGAGGAAGATAGTTAAAGATATAACCGGGATCGACGAACATTTCATTAAGTGGATTAAAGCAAAACCAAGTCTTCACCTCTATTAAAGTAAACCACATAAGTCGTTCATCTTAGTGTTTAAATACATTTAAATTTATCAACAATCATAAAAAACCCCTTGTTACTATTCATTTAAAAGAAAAGTATTCCTTTCGTTGTGGATACGAACCTTACTACACTATACTACGTATTAGTGTTGTATTGAATATTTATATTGAGTGCACCTCACGACAAGTGCACGTCATGATGTTATGGGCGCAATCGATATTGACGACGACGAACTCCACTTCGAGCTTGGCCCTATGGAGCCCGTCGCTGAACAGTACGGGGAGGGTTATGACCCCCTCGGAATCAATAGTGTCTCCGGTGAAGCCGGATAGAGGGGTCCGGATGGGCCGAAGGGACTCCCTCTCCAGATGCAGCTTCTTGAAAGTGCTAAGGTACATTACGTTGATGGAGCTGCCTGTGTCAATGTAAGTCCGGTGGATGATGGAGTTGTTGATCTCACTTTGTATTACCAGTGCATCCTTGTGGTGAGAGGAAACCGGGGGGAGATCGGCGTTGTTGAAGACGATGGGTTCCTCCCTCAATCGCTTTACGGGGGACATATGAGTGACTTCCCCCACATAAAGCGATTGTGCCCACTTCTTTCTTTGGCTAGTGGAGTCTCCCCGAGTGTTGCCGCCGGTGATCATGTGGATATGACGCTTCTTCTCTTGGTACTGGTGGTACTCTTCCTCCTCGTCGAAGTTGCCAATCTCACGCTTCTTCCCTGCGGATTTCCTAAAGGGATGGTGTTTGGGTTAACCCACTTATTGGCCTTCGGCGGGGGCCCTGGGTGATGAGGGGTTCCCTGAGGAGGAGGGCCCCTGATGAACTGAGACAGATGGCCTGCCTGTATCAACCTCTCAATGGCTGCCTTCAACTGATGGCAGTCGTCGGCTCTATGCCCCTGGTTACGATGGAAGTGACAATATGGTTCATTGGGGTTGACGACATATACCTCCAGGGGCGCACGAGAATCTCGCTCCACGAGACCCCTCTCCTCGGCGAAATCGAGGATAATGCCGACGAGATTCGTTAGAGGTGTCCGAGTGTGCTCCAGAAGGATGGACTGCGCCCAGGCCTTCGGGTTGTTTTTGTAACCTCCCCCGGGTTTGGCTTGGCCATGCCAAGGGCGATCACCTAAGGGGGCTGGTCCCTTGGACTGATGGAATGGAGCCCCCGGTCCTCGGTTGTTCCTATCATCCTGCCTGGGGCATTTTTGTTCAGGGTTCCGATGGGACCTCTCCACCTCCCCGGCCTCCGCATATCGGTCTCCCCGCTGGAGGGCCCTTATGTAGTCACGTGGAGACTTGATAATGAGGCTCCTGGAGAAGTTGCCGGTTCGGAGGACCGTCTGTAGGAAAGCCAGAAGGGTTCTATCGTCGGCGTCGCCGACCTTGTCTGTCTCTAGCCTCCAGCGCTCAAGGAAATCCCGAAGGGTCTCCTCCTTTTGTTGCCTTACTGTGAGTAGATGGGAGAAGGGTTTCTTGGACCGGTGTCTTCCCACAAATTGTGTCAAGAAGCGTTGGGCTAGTTCTTGCCAAGATTCAATGCTGCCTTCGGACAGTCGGTTGAAGCATTCGTATGTTGGTCCCTCCAAGGTGGAGAGGAACCAACAGCACAAATATTCGTCCGAGGCCCCTACCGTCATCATGCTGTTTTGATATCTGTTGTAGTGCTCCTAAGGGTCAGTCTTCCCTTCATAGGGCTTGATGGATTGCCCCCAGTATTTTCCCGGAATTTGGGTCACCAACACCCTTGGGGTGAATGGCGTCCTAGTTCGGAGTTGTATGATGGGTTCCCCGGAGCCCTCGACAAATTTTCTCTGCATCTCCTCCATTTTGGCTAGCATGGCCTCATATTTGGGATCTGCATGAGGGGCGGCAACGGCGGTATGTGTTTGACGGGCCTCCATTTCATCAAGCCGGTGTTGCAGGGCCGCAATAATTTCGTCCATGTGATCCTTCGAGAGGGCCTCCGCCCCATGCGATTCAACACGGGTCGAGTGGCCTGATTGATTTGGTGTCTGGCGTCGTCGGTGTGCAGTGGTGCTTTTCCTCTGTCCTGAGGGGGACGCCTCTCGTCTGCCCTCAATACTGACCCCCCGCTCTCTGGGGGTCTTTGGAGTACCTTACCACCGAGGCGGTCTTGGACCCCTCGACGATCCTGCACCCCTCCGAGCCTTTCAAGGGCGGAGGTCCGAGGCCTCTCTTTGTTCGCACCGCATTGGTCCCGGGATTGGACCTCCTGGGATGCGGTGTCTTGGGCCATGACCCCCTCGTTGTTCCCTAGCCGAAGGATAGGGTTCACGAAGGGGGGCGGAGGAGGGGGAGGTATGGCGTTCTCCCCGACCTGTGACTGAAGTGGTACCAGGGTGTCGAAGGCTCCCGGATTTTGGGTGAGTGTCTGGATGAAGGCGGAAAACGCCGACTGTACGTCAATAGTGAGGACCGGAGGGCTCACTTGGTTTTCGCTCCGGTCCCTCCTTCGGGTTTCGATGCCAAGGCGAGCATCGCGGGCATTCTGTTGAAGCTGAAGAGGCAGGTCAACAACAGCCTGTTCCAACTCAGTGATGACCCCGCCCTCGGAAGCCTTGTTAGAGGTTCCGGGGGCGTTGACTTCACTGAGGGCCAGGTTGTTGTCCTCAAGGGTCTTGGACTGAGCACGAGTGGTTCTTCCCATTTTGGTAGGTGATTTGAGCTGAAGGGGAGAGTTTCTTACTTGATCGTTCGAGCTCTCAACGAGAGCACCAAATGATGGATAGTGTACCCGGGGGTAGCTTATCCGAGGGGTTATTTCGGGGAATAACTAGAGAGAAGTCAGAACAAATAAGTAAGAGAGAGAATGTATCTGAATATGTGAACTTGTTGTTCTTTACAATGGGGAAATGGGCTACTATTTATAGCAGCAATAAATGCTAAATAGGGACATGTGTCAACAATCTGGTGGTCGAGGGGTCACCTCAACCGGGGTGGCACTGGCACTCGCATGTGGCCGCATTAAATGCGGTGGTTGGATGTGACGTTTGTACTTGGTGCGGCGATTCAGTGCATGTGGAGAGGAGATTCTGTCGAGGAAGATGCCTTCGGCTGTAGGTGACAGCCCGAAGGCTCTTCGTACCAGGGGCCTTATAGTGTCGAGGGCTCCAATTACCGAAGGCTTGGTTCTCAAGCCTTATTTTCCTGTGATGTTTCCGAGCTCAAATCTATAAACGGTAGCCTTCGGCCATGTCGTCGAAGGCACCCCCATATGCATATGGTGGGCTGCTTAGAGCTTTGTCTTGCTAGGCTTGGCCCGCTTGGGCCAGTTGGGCCTGATTGCAGTAGTGGAAGTATGTGGGTCGGGATCCCTGGGCCATATACTCCATCATCCGCCTCTATAGATGATTTAGACGCCGTAGGTTGCTTCTTGGACTTCCAAGACACAAGGCTAGGAGCCAAGAAAACAACAAAACCTGTAGTAGAGCGAAAGCTATTGAGACAGCCTGCCTAATCAGCATCAGAGTAGGCCAAAATACAAACGAGGCGTGATGTGAGTTTTCTCGCACTTTAAAAGATTGTAGAATAACGGTGAAAGTACGAGTATCGTCTCCACAGGGACGGACAAACGGGAATCAAGGATTAATTAAATTCAGCGATTAAAAAAGAATAAAATGAAATAAATGCGTCGTGCGATATTGGTTGGTTGAATTAAAATCAAACTAATGCGAATGAACGATTAAAATAAAAGATTGGGTTCTCTCTAATTAACGAAGAAGGGAGCAAGGATTGATTGCGGGATAATCAGATTTCT